ACCATATAAACAAAGAACAAAAAAAAAAAAAAAAAAAAACATAGAACAGAGAATTGATTAAATAAAAAGAGAATGTTCATGAAAATATCGAGCTCATAAAAAAATCCAACAGAAAACATTTCATATAAATGAAATGGTTAACTAACTATAAGACAACAACGCGACAACTAAAGCGACTATAAAACATTGACTCACTATGTATGTATGTAGCAAATAAAAATGCTGCTGATGATGATGATGATGATGGTTAAAAATGATGATGACAGCATAAATAAGCAGCCAGAAGGAAGCGCGCGACACACCATAGATATTTGCGTAAACGCTTTCAATGTATAAATCCCTGGGAAGTTAATAAAACAAGAAAGGAAAAAATCAACAAAAACAACAATAACATGAGAAAAGTAAATAATCAAATAATGGGCGCGTTAAACTCTTATTCTAAATTTCTTCCTTTCGTTTTTTCCTTTTGGTTTGGAGAGCAGTGCACTTCAATCAAGAGTGAAAAACGCTTAAAAACGAGAACAAGCATAACGAGTGCCCAACGAAATAAACTACAAACCGGTTAAGCCTCAATGATGGTTGGTTGAGAAGAAGCAGCAATGGGAAAAGAGAAAGATAGAAAAAAAAAATGTACACTAAAAAAAGGGAGAGAAAGAAAGAGAGTAAAAAAGTAAAAAGTCTTTACCAAGCCCTGGTTTTAGTTGTTTTTTTCTTTCCTTCGTTTTTTGCCCAAGGATAACAACAAAAAACTACTTCAGCACACATGCCATACTTACAAGATGAGAACTCGAATTCAAGTACCCGCTACAACAACCACCGTCAAGTTTGGGTGGTGGCAAGAGTATGCGCATACACAGAAGTTAAAATGCGACAGAGAGAGAGAGAGAGAGAGAGAGAGAGAAAGAGAGAGAGGGAGAAAGAAAACGGGAAAGAGAAAGAAAGAAAAAGAGAGGGAGAGAGAGAGAAAGAGAAAAAGATTCTGCGACAACCATACATGGGTTCTTAAGCCCGTTAGATCATGAGCAAGCGGGCAATTTATATTGCGTTTGATTTTGTGTGCGTTGTCTGTTATGTATTGTGTGTACTCGAAGGCAATTGGTGTTGATGATGGGTTGGTCGGTTAAGAGCTTGTTGAGCGGAGGACATGAGAAGCCACTTAGCAAAATCGATCGATTGCTACAATTTCTGTAAACGCTTCAATAATGGCTGGAGGTAAAAGTGGATTTTTAACTGAGTTTTTTTTTTATACTTTCCCAGCACAATTCTGCTCGTGTTGTTATTGAAAATGATGACAATAAGGACAATGGTAACGGCAATGTTGATGGTGATGGTGATGGTGGTGGTGGTGGTGGTGGTGGCGATAGTTGCTGTTATTGTTGTTAGATGCTTAGCCAACCACTTTTCAATATTTGAAATTTTTCACAGTTCTTTTAGATACTCGTTAGTTGTTGATGGCACTTCAAATAGTTTGCATCAGTAGCGCGCGCGGTTTTGCATACAAAACCTAAACATTAGAAAAAATCCCGAAATAAAAAGAAAGATTAGAAAATTTGCGCAAAGTAACAAAATTCCCATAACTAAAATAAATTGTGAAGGGAAAGACCGGCCATAATAATAAGTGAAAATAAGTAAAAGTAACATTAAGTGGAAAATTGAAGTGTTTAGTTAGTTGATTTGGATTAAAGAGTCCTTGAAGATAACCAAATAACCAAATTCAACTTAAGTGTTTTACAAACTGCTTCAAAGTGGCTGAAAAACGTAAACGGTCGCTGACGCCCACACGATCGCCGACGCGACGAAAATCGTGTGAATCATTAAGACAAATATCTGAGCCCCTCTCACCGACTCAGCGAGATTCAGATATAAGCATATCTTCGCCACCGCCACAAATTGCTCAGCATTCGCGATCACGCTCGCCGACCCCACCGCAACCTTTAAACGCACCTTCGTCTCTGCCATTACGCAATTCAACGCATGATACCACAAAGGATACAAAACGCATCGAAATCGATGGCCGGACACCGAAAACTGCTACAACTACCGTACCCGCCAATACACCGCAAGAACATTTACGCATACCTACAGGAGCGACGGGATTTAGTGGATTTCCTGCACTTCACGGTATGAGTAATTTAATGGTACCATCGGCGGCGGCTGCTGCCGTAGCGGCCGCCCCATTTCTACATTGGTCACCTATGCTGTTGCCGCCTTGGGGTCACTCATTACTGCCAGCGGCATTTTATCCAGCTGCCTTGCGTAGTGCTTTGCCTGGGTAAGCGAAACGTCTGACCTTTTTTTCCCATTAACAAGTTCAAGCGACCCAAAGCGGTTTCGCTAAAATGGATCTCGAATACCTATCAGAAGAGGACCATGGAAAGCTAATAGGTCTCATAAATAAAACAATTTCTTTATTTATCTAATTTAAAGGCCTGCTTTCACATAAATCCTTAAAATTAACTTTAGAGTTTCTTCTAATTACTTACATAAACAATTTGCAAAGATAGCGCTAACGCTTCAAGTTAAAACAAGAGTAATACTAACAATATGGCTAAGGTATTGATGAAGTTGTGCGTCTTTAAAATTATGTTCTGCTACAAGGGCATATTCAAATTCGAAGGCCTATTCGATTTGTTTTTAAGTGCCTTCTATATAGTTCACCTGTTTATCGATTAAGCAAATACACACGTACACATTAGAGTATGAAATCATTTCAGTTACATTATAAAATGTTACAAAATCTATAAAGCTATCACTCGAAGAAAGTTAAGAGCGTATAGCGAATTGTGAAATGTTGCGAAACTGATAGAATTCTCACTTTCTCACTCTCACTAATTCCATTTTTCTGATGGCTAAGTGGCTTTTGTACAGTCGTTTATCCAACCTCATGAGTCGAATGTATGTAAGTACTATAGTGTTTGCAGAAGTGAAAATTTATGCCGACATTTTATGAAGACGTTCAATCAGACTCGTGACGCAGATAAAAAATTGTATGAAAATATTATAATTGCAAGAATTTTATTCTTTACGATTCAAGAGGAGTGTAGCAGGTTGCATCTGCATATATATTGGGAGGGATATGCGAACATTGAGAAATTGAAAAATCTTTAATTTCAAATATCTTCCTCACATTCGCCGGCCAGTCAGCCAATATTGATGGATATAAAATGAATGCTCCTTCTTCATTCCCTGCTATCAACAATTCATGGCCACAGATATCCGCGTTAACCCGTAACATTGACCAATCAATTCTCTCAAGACATATACGAAACTTTGTTAATTATTTCCTCGCATAGTTCACTTTGTCGCTCTATTTGTCCGAGGAAAATTAAATATCATTTTATTTATTTTCTAAGCGTAAATAATCTCGAGTCAATTGATGATTCCGGTAAAGCAAAAATCAAAAAAAGGTGAGATGCACTCATAGTTGAAACTCGACCCTAATGAATGGCGAATGGCAGCTTAATCTTAATCCTAGCAACTCGGATTTGAAATTTAGCAAACTGATGTTGTTTTTCCACAAAATCGTGAACGCGATAGTACCGCGCCGACCACGAATATCATTTCAAAGTTCAAAGGACCCATACCTAAGAGATGTAAATTTTTTTTTTCATCTTTAGTAGGGCTTTGCCGGTATTCTTAATATTCGTACATTTAAATAGAACATGCGCAGCAACCCATACTCCAACTTTCGACCATTTTGTATTCCTTGCTGAGAATCCTTGCACTTGCACGGTACAGGGGACCATTTCAAGAAATAACCTTCCCGATCATCTTTAATTTATTGAATGTGTAATGATTGCATTTTCTTCATTCAAGTAATAGATGGCGTAATTTGTCTGGACAAGTGATAGTTTGATATTCATGCTCTTGAAAAATCCATTAAATAAAATATGCATAAAGCATTTACATACCGATCCTAAATAATTTTCCGAGATGTATAGGTGACGAATTATTTCCTGCTTACCTTCTTTTTTTTTTTTATCTTTCACTTTTCCCTTCATATATGGACGTAATTTCCCTCATGCCATTTAAAAGAAAGAATATTGAACGCACGTATCTTTTAGAAATGCAAACCATCTGGTTGAGGCAATCTGCGAGCTCAGGCACGTTTTGACGTAAACAACTCAGATATTTTAAGCAATAAAGCTATTTTCGCTCGTACTTGTTGAATTTCGAAAACACTTTCAATTGAATGTCATTGTTTGGTTATTGGAAATTTTCAAGTACAACAATTACTTTAGCGTAAACAGGGAAAACCCATTGGAAAATCGCAGCATATTTTGAAAACATATGTTGCACACAAATTCGGCGTCATACTGTCTGGGAAAATGCACACATAAAGCTAAAGGTGTAGAAAATATCTTCCAAATGGTTTTACACATTCTTGCTGACTGACCTTTACACCAGCCAAAGGTAGAGAAAAACAGGTCTTACTTGCACTCTATTCAATGAGATCTTTCCGTACCATATTGGGCGTGGGATTATTTGTGCTAACGTGTAAGTAACAATTTTCAGGTATTTTTGAAAACAAAAAAATCAAAAAAAAAAGAAAAAAAAAAGAGAACATTAAGAGGAAAATTTTAAGTATACAACGTAGCACATATGTTTCGTCTTAAACAACACTTTGCGGTTTGTCTGACCATAAAAATGAATTTTGTGTACAATGTTAAAAATGCGAAAAATTAATAAATAAACGCGTGCTCGTACTATTGGTTTCAATTTAAATCTTAAGTCTTAAGAGATTTCTATTAATAGTTGTTGTTTGTTGTTCTTGTTGTTCTTGTTGTTCTTGTTGTTGTTGTTGGCATTAAGAAAGTAAAACTAAAAATTAAATTTACTTAAAGTGCTACAAAAACCAGATTAGGTTTTGTATGTTTGTTGTTTTCCCATAACAACCTTAACTTTCACACATTTTTGTCAATGCCTCACATGTAAACTGTAAGTAAATCTGTTTAATTGTATTTCGTTTTTTTTTTTTTTGCTTTCTTTTCGGTTTAAAGTCTTTTTGATGCCAAAATACCATCGTCGCAAAGATCTTCCGGCTTTCATATATCGGACATTTTGAATTTAGAAGGATCGGAACTAAAGAACGGTGTTGGTAACGCGCAAAACAGTGATATAACAAGTATAAATTCTAGTCATACCACCTCTCATCATGCCAACGCCATCAGCAATCATTTAACATCGGTAACCAGTCTTAATGACAATCCTACGCATACTTCTGCTCTGTCAGCGACGAGTGTATCAAGTCAACCACCGCACATCACTAATTTAGATCAGAATAACGCACCCGCTTCCACATCAAATATTGTGACAGCTACAGCTCAGGCTCAGGCTCAGGCTCAGGCCGCAGCACACCTCATAGCCACCCATAATGCTGCCGCAGCAGTGGCTGCTGCCGGTCAATATTTACCAAAAAATTTCACCAATGGTTTTAATGATGACATGTCCTCATACCATCACATGGCTCATACGATGCTAACACATACTGGACGAGGATCAACATGGATCAAGGAGAATGATATATATGGTAAGTTTTAAAAATATTTCAAAGTCGCATTAGAGAAACCCTGCCCCACTACTACAGGAAAGGTCATGACTCTATCTGCAGATAGAATCTATTAATCGCCGACCTATAGGTACTAGAAAAAAAAGTTTTCAAGCAAATCAATTCATTCATAACCGTGTCCAGGCGGGATCATATTCCCATTTCTTGCTTCCGTGATGCTTGCTCCAATTCCTTTCAATTTCATAGCATAAGCTTGAATGGCGTTCATATTATCCATAAGATCTCACCAATCGTTCAGATAAGTGTTTTAAATTTTGAATTGATTTGAATTTTTTTTCAAATTGTTTGATTAATGTTACCGTCTTGATAAAATAGACCGCTTTAGTGATAACTCAAGCACTTTTCTTTTAGTCGTGCAACACCTCGCCATTCTAGTTTTACAATTTTTATAAAAATATCTTTCCTCCGACATCAGATTAATACAATGTACGATACAAAGGATGATAGATATGTATGAGGCCCTTAATGAAAATCCTTACAATTCGGATTTACCATTAAAGAGTGGTGAGGAAAAGTGCTCGTAGTTCTTATTATAAACTCATAAGTAACGGACACATCTTGGTTGTTTAACTACACTCACCTATTCCTCCGGTTGCGGTCTATTAACTGTAGTAGAGTTCATAAAACAGATCTACATTTGTCTCGTTGTTTATTGGGTTAATTGTGCAGATCGTGTTTTAAAACACTGCAGGACTACTATAACTAAGAATAAGAAATATATAGAAAAAAAAAAAAAAAAAAAAAGAAACGCATATATGCTAAACAAGTCCTATACGAGTTCCGAATAAAAATAAACCTGATTGGACTTTACTTTAACAAACTCCCTTTAATAAACTATTGCTTTATCCATTTCTTATTCGATACAATATTCGTTTCATATGAATCATTTAACGAGTCGTTGGATGTCGTTGCTGATATTCATAGCTGCGAAGAAATCGTTTAATTCCCCTTTTCGACTAATTCGAAAGTTTGTAGAAACAGTTCAACAAGAAAATTGTATTCGATCTTGATCGAATCTTTTACACCCATCACTCTGATCGTAAAAAATATTAAACGAACTAAATTTTCATACTCTATAATATTGAATCGATGCGGCTGATTTATTCTGTTTCCAGAATAAAAATGAAAATTTATATGGTGTATGTATGTGTTGTACTTAATGAATAAAAGGCAAAAAACGCGGAAAGCAAAGGTGTTCTCAATTTTCGTTACGTAGAGAGGAGGAGAGAAAGAGAAAGAGAAAGAGAGAGAGAGAGAGAGAGAGAAAGATAGATAGAAAGAGAGAGAGAGAGAGAGAGAGAGAGAGAGAGAGAGAGAGAGAGAGAGAGA